TGATGGATCTGAAACAGTGATCTTTCATGCAACCAGATTAGTAACGATATAACGGGACTATAGATAAGTTTAAAAAGGAGCTCGATAGATTATCTTTACCGTAAAAATATCTCACAAGATGATATTTGGTCGGCAATTTACTTTATTAACAGACCGTAAATTACTGCGTTTGAGTACAAGAAAGTTCCTTGTCCACACAGCTAGCCGGCTGCAACAATCGGCAGAAGTATTTCTGATCTATGATTTGAAGACCAAGTACCAGCCTACTACTGATGTTGGACAACCTGACGCCTTTTCTAGACTGATTATTTCACAAATGGAATGTGAAGAAGATGCTTTAGTGACAGGAGTTGAGACGGAAACAGAAGTTCATCCAAAGCTGAAGAATGTAGTTGTTGGTCTACCAGTCACTTTCAAAGCTGTCAAAGAAACTACGGAAGACGACATTAAGTTATGGGTTATGTCAACAAGCGACCAAACCAACTTTTCTAAGGAGAATGTGATAATCGGAAGAATTTGAATTATAGTATGAACTAAGAATCCCAGAAATAACGTAATCGGATTAAGAACTGCTAGATAACCACAAACGAATGTACTATATTTAGAATTCGAAATCAAGCATTCAACAAGTACGAAGGTATCGTTGGTTTGTAGTGACTCACTTTTATTACGAGAACACGATTGGTTTATTGAAAACAATTATTATTATAACCAACTGTACCAGTGACTGTTTAATGTGCTCTTTGTTCAACTGTGCTAAAAACATCCATTATACACACTTTGATCGTGAACTCGCGCGAATTCAGTTATGCTGTGCAACCAAGCTTGTGTCCTGGCACGATCTCGGTATTCATTCGATACCACGAGATCGCCAACAAATATATCTCGACTTGATCCATTAACTGCCTTCTGATATTTGGTTTCCGGGGGATTTTATGGATATCCTGGCACGCGTTCCTTTGTAGTGGTGTTCATAGTCAATTTCGACTCGACACCACGCTACAAGTTCATTCAAACACCTCAGAGATCTGCCATAATATTTTCGCCAGCGAGACTAACTCATGATTGTTTATTCATGGATTATGACCGATGTTCCGAAAACATTATGCCAAAATCTTTTGAAACAATTCCACAGCGGCAATCTCATCATCAATAAAATAGGATTGTTGGCTCGAAGCTATTCTTCTAGGCCTAAAATGGATCAAGATATCGAAATTAGACGCCAAAATTGTTCCTCGTGCCTAAAAGTAGCCAAAACTCTAAAGAAATGTGAACCACAACAATAGACAAAGTCCAACAGTCACTGGAAGAGGTTTCATTCAGATTTTGCCGACCTATTACGGGGAGAATGTTTGTAGTGGATGCATTCACAAAATGGCTAGAAATTTATATTATGTCAGCCAACGAGATATATGAATTCTTTGTCTGTCTTGGAATTTCAGGGATCTTAGTAGCCGGCAACGTCTCATAACTCACTTCGAAATTATTCAAATGCTTCCGCAATAATAATTTAATGATGTATACACACTATCCATCCTATCACTCTCGACGGAATGGACAAGCAAAACGCTTTGTCGACTCATTTAAAAGAGCATCACTGAAAAGGGGAGACGAGTAAACAACTTAGATAATCATGAAGTTCTTAGCAGCTCATAGGACTACACCCAACCCTACTATCCCAGACGGAGAAGTGTTTGGAAGAGGCATTCGAACTATATCCAGCGCCATGTTTCCACCTTGAACAGTAGACGGGTGACGACGAAATGAGAATATCTGAAGTTTTAATAAGGATGACAAAGCGGTCGTCAAGTCACACCCTGGGAAAAATCTATGAAAACCTGGAGTTACTGACAAGAGAATGGAAAACGCTTTTTATGAAATACATGAAATGTTCAGAACATGGATTATATATACCAAGCAAATCCATTGAGAAAAAGGACAATGGGTACGGCAGGTGGATAAGTGAGTCTTCCGCTAGAGATAACCACAGATACTGCAATGATAAGAAATTTTAAGGACAAAATGAAGAAAAACAAGCTGAGAGTTCGGAATCGAAGGACGTCAGAAAGACAGAACGCCGCCGCAAACCAGCTGTCAAGTTGTAAGTGGACCTTATTTCGGAGAGATGTTGGGAATACTTCAGAAAGCACGGCGAGGCCTTAGATGCCTGCAAAAAAGCCAAAGATTCCATCAAATCAGAACCTGAGGTGGCTTTCTAGAATACCGACCTGGTATGTTATGACTAGACGATAGTGTAATCTGCATCTCCGAGGATTGGCTGAATTATATTGATGTTATAGCCAATACTAATGACTATAAATACTCATGTTTTTCTGTACATTTTTTATTCTTACCAACTACCTAGTTCCGTTGCTTCTTCCATCTTCTGATTTGCGACTATGGGGTTGTAGTAACACTATTACGGTCAATTTCGATAACGGTTAACCTCTATCAAGCTTTTTCATCTGACAGACAATGTTATCAACATAGTAACAATTCGTTCACTTATTTGTACTAGTAGGATCGCTAAAATGCCTGCATAAACAGGTATATCTGAACGCTTATTACGACCTACGCACATATCTGGGTAACTCAAATATTATTCGCTTAAATAGAGCTCGATGTATCATTCTCCTTCCTTCATATACTTGTATCATAAAAACAAACTGTACTTTGAGTCGCTGTGTATTTATTTGATATGACTATGGATTTACTTCTATATTCGAACGCAATGATTCGCTGGCCTATTCGCTTCAAATCCGCTTGGTGTGTTTGTAATTCTGCGGTTTGTGCAATCAGCCAATAAATTGTAGTCGTGAGCTACTTAAACCCATATAAGTAGTATATAACGATGGTCAGGTATAGAATGTATTTCAGTAGAAGATCGAGAAGGAAAGAACGGGAGAGGAAAGCAACTGGTATGAAAATGCATGAAAAATGAAATCTGAGATGGACCGACATTTGCAAAAAGGAACAGTCGAGTTTAAGACAATGGATTGATATTTTGCAAATTAACTGTTTATTGTACGTTCTCAGATTTTAGTGAGATGTTCTGTAATCTCGTGTTTAAATACACTCGATTGTCCCCACTCGTGTTCTGTTCATGACAGTTGCAGCTTATTATCGCCTTCTGAATTCAATCCCATGAGATCTCCGTGATAACGGTTAACAGGGTCAACATTTAATGAAGCTACGCGCAATACAGGGTTTTACGCGTTCGAGTGCCGTTAGTTATATATCACATTCCGCAGTAATCAAGTAGAGAACATAACACTGGCAACGAGGTGTACTGTTGACAATGACAACCGCTCCTGAACAAGTAGAATTTCTGCTCTAACATCAGGAAAAGCGATACGAACAGTTTCAAGTTCGTATCCTGGAAATCATAACGCAAAAAAATGAACGTGTTGACGCCGTCAAGATCAGAACACTCCTAAGAAAACTTGGCACGGATGAACACGAATGTTAGCGTAAGTTCATCCTTTCAAATAACCCAATAGATTTTACTTTCGATGCAACAGTTGACACCCTGTCACAAATCCTTGTGGAACAGTCATATTTGTCTAATATCCATTATTAGTGCCTCACGAGAACAAAAGCCGGTGATGATGACTGGGTGAAACATACAGGTTTAGTAAATCGAGAACGCGAGCGGTTTAAACTATCAGCAATGAAGGAAGATCAGTCTAATTGTCTTGTGTACAGTCTCCGATTTCCTGAAGACAGTGATATCAGAACCAGAATTTTGAGAAAAATTGAATAATGGGTGCTCAGAATTATCATTATATGCACTGCTTTTTTACGATTAAGTCTCATGGACATTGTTTTGTGAAAAAGTACCCATAAAGCAACGTAATTTACTGATAATAATAATTACTTTCTATAACCATAAAGGTTTAATCTGCATGATAAGGAGCAGAGAAAAGAGTTTATGACAAGATTGACCACAAGAAGCATGTGCAAATGATTATAAACAAAACAGATTCAGCTGTAAAACTGACAGTAATGAATAATAATAATAATTCTCGACAAATAACCAAACGATCATTGAAAACGAAGAATTAACTGAGAGCAATTTCTTCATAGTATGAGAATCCTCGTGAGCGAACATTCATAATTCTACTAGAAACTCGGACTCAATCGTTGAGCTGTTGATTATTTAACCATTAGGTTGCCATATAATAGTGTACATTTTGAAATTTAATTAGTTCGCCACAAAGTGCTTTTAACATAACCCAGTAACTGTTTAAAGCTTGTGGTATCGGTTGTTATGTTAAGCCCATATAATTTATTCTAGTTTTCAGACAGGTCAATATATTCATTCTACTTGAGTCATATTTTGACTTTGTTAATTATTCACTTATCAAACTTGACTGTTTTTATATGAGCGTATGTGTGTGTTCACTTCTTATCCTATTCATCACATGTCTGTAACTTATTTTTACGTGATTATAAATGTTGATTAACGCTTGACCAAATGGAGTTGGCTCATTCGCCTTCTCCACTGCGCGTCATTTCGTTTTACTCTCTTCTCTCCGCTTCCTTCGTTTCGTTCCTCTGATTTCCTGTTCAGATCAGTAAGTGTACATTCAAAAGTCCATTCTTGTATTTGACTTATTTAATTCCGTTATTGACTAACACAATTTAATTCAATGATTATATACGAGGATTGACAATATGTATATCTCAATGGCAATCAGAAACGATCTCACATTGGATTCAGATCCCTTGACTACTTAAAAGTTCAACAATATTGAATTTCAACAGTTACAACTTGTCAAATTAAAGCATGGCACATCTAATTTACAAGTTAAATTATAATATTTACAACTCTTACAACAAATAGTCATAATCATAATGAAAATTGTCTTTATAAAGTAATAGAAATGATGATTTGCTTCAAAAAAATGTCAATCCGTAGAAAACTGAATATTAGACATTTGCAGTTTGTCATTTTTGTTTCATGAATCAATTTTTTAAAGTATAAATAAATAACCAAACCAAAATGAACACAAGTTTAAATCATACTAAGGTAACCAAGTAGAATAAGCTTAATACAATGAAAATGAAGATAAATTTGATCTTATATATAATATCATTCCAATCAGATCTACATGATTCTTTATAAGATCTACCTGAATGATAGTGTGCATAAGAAATGGCAGAGTAGCATTGAATAATATTTGTATGCATGTAATACTTTTTCTTTTGTGGAGTATTACAATCATAGAGTGTAATATACAAAATTAGTAATTCTTAATGATAACCAGTACAAACACTTATAATCACGACTGGATCAAAATTGAAAACAGATAACTCATTCAAATGTATTGTATTGAAATTAGAATTGCATAATTACGTATATACAAAATATTTATTATTTTATAAAAACATTATAGTTTGTCAATAGTATGAAATGTGTGTTTACTTAAAGAAATAGTTGATTATTTTTATAATCAGAAATGGGGTTTTGTGGATATTATAGTAATTTAATAGTTACATTCATGAGTCAATTGAAGCTAGACCACTATGGAAAACATGGAAGCACTGAACGACCGTTCCGTCCTAGTATGGGACCCATCAGCAGTGCGCATCCACGATCCCGAGCACAGACGCTCGACCTCTAGACCACTGAGCCGGCATCCATCGGTGTTAATGTCTAACTTCAACTAATCCACGAGATTGCGCCACTGTCCACCATTGTCTTCAGTGAGTTGACTATTTCACAACAGACCCGGTTGAACTGCTCTGATCACTACTTATCACTAGAATTCCAGGAAATACCTCTTGAAGACCGTCACTAGTGAGCATATGATGATTATAATCAAAAAAGAGTTTTGTGGATATTATAGTAACTTCATAGTTGAATTCATGAATCCATTGAAGCTAGACCACCATGGAGAACCTGAAAGCACTGAACGACCGTTTCGTCCTATTAGTGGTCTAGCTTCAATTGACTCATAAATTCAACTTATTGAATCTACTATTTTTTTCTCATTAACAATCTACCGAATACTCAAATTCTTATAAAACAAAATCGTCTTTATTATTGATTTAATAAAAGAACATAAAGGCACTTAAAATCAATTCATTGTCTCACATTCTATCTAATAAGACCTTAAAAGGAAAACAAGAACATCCTAACAACTAATTTATTTATGATCGTAAAACAAAAGTCTTTTTTAAAACAAATTTATACCGTAATTACAATTAAAGTACATCACTTAAATATGATTCAATAATAACCACACACACACACACACACATACACACACATACAATTGAAGTAACTCTATTGGACATTATCCGTACAAGATTGATGTTGTCCAGGTGATTATTACTATTCAAATGATCTAATATAAACAAAACAAATGAAGTCAATAATAATAACAATCATCATATCCTATTTGATATTACACATAATAGAATGTATATTGATCCAGTGAATTATTTAGAAAATTTCATTCATTCCCTTAGTGATAATAATAATAATAATACTGATAAATTGGAATTGAATAAATTACTTCAAGCATTGAAATGTCGTCTAGAAGATTATCAACGAATCTATCAATCTAATCATCATCCATATTCTAATTTATCTCATCTATGGTTATTAATAACCGATTTAAATTTATCTAATATTCAATTAAAATTAATACCAAATGAAAATATATTTGGTTATTTATTAAATTTAAAACGTCTATGGTTACATAATAATCAATTAATGAATTTAAATAATTGTTTAATTAAATGTAATAAATTAATAGAATTAAGATTAAATTCAAATCAATTACATAATACCTGTGGACAATTATATCAATTACATTGTCTTGAAATATTAGATTTATCAAATAATCATTTAGATAATATAATGGTAAGTTGAATGAGGATTTATAATGTGAATATTATGTTTAACCCAGGTTGAACAGATTAATATTGGTACAAAGAAGTTATACAAGTCACTTGATTTGTATGTGAGCTGTGCCCAGATCGAAATAGGTGGTTCTCTTAGGAGATCATACTCGGAGCTTTCGATCTGAATGTATTACCCACAAGGCAGTGGAGCAATGTCAGGAGATCTAGTCCCACGATAGTCCATGACCAATAATTGGTTCATACGCCATTTGTTCCCTCAGGATTCTGGAGCTCATGTGTACCATTAGTTTAGAACCAGGGTTTTCCAACCTTTGCCCCCTAAATGGATCCTCTTTATCCACCAACCCGGTTAAAAACGCTAGACATTCACTTTTCGTTTTCTCAATTTCGTAAACAACACAAACGCCACGAGAAGGCAGTGGATGTATACGTGTGGTCATGTGAGGAAGAGCGAGCTCTCCCCACTCTCGGAGGTACCAGGTCATTATTTAACTATATAAAACAATAAAGTAGATTATATGTGTTGTTAAAAAAAACTATGTCTCATTCAATAATCTTTGTCTCGTAGCGTCAATACTGAAAATTTGAACATTAAATCAGTTTACATGAAATTGGTGATATATGTTTAACTATTTGTCATGCTAGAGAAATATTATAGTTGTGCATTCAACAATTTAAATCGATATGAAATTATATGACAAAGTGACGACAATTTATTCCTTATATTAGAAAATTATTCTCACGTATAAACGATATAAAATCCACCATGAAGAAGACAAATATCAAACGTATTACTCTTAGATGAGCAGATCATCATCATCATCAGAACCAACTGTGGAAAATTGGTATGGTATTTAATAAAGACATGTTAAATTAACATAACTGCATACTTTATTTCGAATACGATATGTGAAGGAGCGTTTGAGTGTTAAATGTATTAATTCAATTGTATGGATTAACTTGTTCTCAGTAGTGTGATTAATTCGAATGTCTTAAACGCAAATCCTTCGATTATTCTTTCGTTTGACTACCTGTCTATCTATATCTCTTTTAATCATAGTCCATTACTATATCAGTCTATAAATACTTGAGACACATTGACACTCTGGATAGTTAAAACTCACTTGAATGTAATGCAGATTAGACTAGTCTAGTGCAATCCTGGGTATAATTAAAATAATGCATTATGTCATTGAATAAGCAAAGGGAATTCATATAAAATGCCCTGACAAGTATATGTGTGACTAGATTGTTCGAAATGTATAGCGCAAATACATCACATTTTTCAGATCAACTACGTCTTTTCATTGTTCTGTCGAAATTTATAAAAGGGACTAATTGCTTTAGAATACAGTAAGGAAGTTTTTCTTTTTGACGAAATCATTTACTTAAGCAGTACATTTGATCCAGTTCCTTTGATTGTGTAGATTATTTTGAAGAAAGACTCTTTTGGAACAATGCGTCCAGAGTTGATCAGGTGCTCCTGTATTGGACTGATGATAACTTCGTATTCTCTTCTTAGAAGCCACGCTGGGTGATATATATATATATATATATATATATATTCTGACCCTATTCTTCTCTAACCCCGTGATTATTACGTAACGTCACTTGATAATTGTAGTCTTGAGTCACTTTATGACGTGACATAAATTTACCAAACAACTACAAATACGAATATACAGCTTAAGTAAATGATTTCGTCGAAAAGTGATTTTTCTCGCCGAACTGTTTTTTATTCGCTGAATGATGCGATGGGCTACAAGTGCAGGTGACTCCGATTCCCGGAATCAATAAATAATTAATTCAATTATAAAGAGGTCTAATTCTCGTGTTATTCCAATAATATTATTATTTCAGTTCAGTTTCGTTCATTTAGTTCTATTACAATTTGATTATCTTTACTACTGTACAGGTTAGTCAATTCAAGCGCTTAAATATACATTCAGGAACATTTATATTCTAGTTCTTATTTGATCTATCCGTCCTTGATCATAGATTATAAAGATAACGAGTATTATATCAAGACAATCAGTGTATAAGAAGCCAACACAAACAGAATAAATTCCCAACTAGATTTACGAAAGCCCAATAACTCACAAAGTCATCTGAGTACAAACGCAATTAAAACAAAGTGAAAACAGATTCTAACACAACTAACATGACAAGAAATGAAGAAACATCTTTAATGGCAATTTTTCAAAATAACACTTCTACACTTAACCTCAATAAAAACCGTTTATCAAACCCATCAACATGCATGAAATTAAATGTGGAAAACAACAAATCGGTCATTCTACCATAAATAAAGGACACAAAAGAAATTCACACCATATTATTGAGGTCATTTAGAATAAGCATAGCGCACACGTCACCAAAACCATTTCAATCAATCTTATGCAAACTGGAAGACGGAATGACTAAAGAAAAAATCTCCGAATATAGTTACAAAACAGACTAATCCGACTACGAGAAATATTACATAGAACAAAGTAGTGACTTTGTGATTCTTCGTCTACACGGACACCAATTAGTTTTCAAGCGCCACAACGAATCTTTGTTTGTATTAGAATATGTTGACAATTTTGAGCACATTCGACTTGGAAAATGTTGAATTATTAAACAGAGGTAACAGAGAAAAGACCAGAGGAATTCTAGAAGCTGGGTATCCAGATCAATAAACATATTAAAATCAATCCAATTTACCAGCCAATCAGAGAAATCATAACTATAAGGTCAGGAATGAGATCAACTGGGAGAAACAACCAAAATAAGCAAATAGACAAATACATAATGAATGTTGACAACAACTAGTCAAGGTTAATGTTAACAAAACAAGCTGTTAGACATTGGAACAAAAAATCATACTACCTTACCTCTATCTGAAGTCTGTAGTTACGATGTTGTCAAAGAAAGGTAATGAAAGTTTCACAATCAAGCAATCCATATAGGAGAATGCAACTCTGACAAAATCATCACAAAGTGATTAGAATTATATATATGAATTTCATGATTATTATTCAGTTTTTATTATTGCATCCCGATTTAGTAGTGGTGTCGTACTCAACGTGGAACCTCAAGGTCTTGCGCCTAACCTCTTGAGCGTCACAGGTACACACTGCTGCAAAGTCTTATACCGATGGCGGCCTAGTTTTCACTGACTATTTA